GAAAAGTTCGATGGTGCGGACTTTGGCTTTTGGAAGATGCAGATTGAAGATTTTCTGTACCAGAAAAATATATATCAACCTCTATCAGGAAAGCAACGAGAGGGCATGAAGAATGAAGACTGCGCTCTTCTCGATAGGCAAGCCCTCGGAGTTATTCGACTGACGTTATCCCGCAATGTTGCTTTCAACATAGCAAAGGAAAAGACCACAGCGGGTCTTATGGCGACTCTCTCCAGTATGTATGAGAAGTCATCAGTCTCAAACAAAGTGCACTTGATGAGGCGATTATTCAATTTGCGGATGACGGAAGGGGCATCGATGGCACAACACCTAAATGAACTCAACACAATCACAACCCAGTTGAGTTCAGTGGAAATTGAATTCGATAATGAAGTTCGAGCTTTAATTCTCTTATCATCTCTACCAGACAGTTAGAATGCTACTGTTACTGCAGTTAGCAGCTCGTCGAGAAATAGTAAATTGAAATTCGACGATGTTCGGGATCTGGTACTGAGCGAAAAAATTCGACGGAGAGAATCGGGTGATGCATCAACCTCCTCAGCCTTGCACACGGAGTCCAGAGTGAGAACTTTAGAAAGAAATTCAAATCGTAGCAGATCCAAATCCAGAAGGGAAAAATTAAGAACGGGGAAAAAAGATTTTACCTGTTATAACTGCGGCAAGAAAGGTCACTTTAAAAGAGATTGTCGAGCACCGAAGAAAAATATCGGCGCACAGGAATCTGCCAACGTGACAGAAGAGACATGTGATGCCATGATTCTAAGCATCAACAGTCCGATTGAATCATGGATCTTGGATTCAGGGGCATCTTTCCACTCTACCCCATGCCAAGAAATCATGGAGAACTATGTCAGTGGTGATTTTGGAAAGGTTCATCTAGCTGATGATGAAACCTTGAAGATCGTTGGAAAAGGAGACATCCGACTAAAGTTGCCAAACCATACTACCTGGAAGCTGACAGGAGTGAGACATATTCCTGGCCTCAAAAGAAATTTGATTTCTGTAGGACAGCTTGATGGAGAATGATATAGCACAACTTTTTCAGGCTGTGAATGGAAGATCACCAAAGGAGCACTCGTCATTGCTCGTGGTAAGAAGACTGGTACTCTCTATGTAACCTCAAATATAGAGAATATCATTGTTGCAGCAAATGCTGATGGAAAATCAAACCTATGGCACCAAAGGCTTGGCCATATGAGCGAGAAAGGGATGAAGACACTTTTGTCAAAAGGGAAGCTGCCGGATCTAAAGAATGTAGATGTCGGACTATGCGAGGATTGCATCTTTGGAAAACAAAAGAAAGTCAGCTTTGCAAAGATTGGTAAGACACCCAAGGCTGAAAAGTTAGAGTTGGTTCATACTGATGTATGGAGACCATCTCCAGTTCCATATCTTGCAGGCTCATTATATTATGTCATCTTCATCGATGATTCTACAAGGAAGGTGTGGGTTTATTTTCTGAAAAAGAAATCAGAAGTCTTTGATACCTTCAGAAAATGGAAGGTCATGGTGGAAAATGAGAATGGTCTGAAAGTCAAGCGGTTGAGGTCTGACAATGGAGGAGAGTACAAAAATCGTAGATTCAGAGATTTCTGCGCAAACAATGGGATCAAGATGGAGACAACAGTTCCCATGACACCGCATCAGAATGGTGTAGCAGAGCGCATGAACATAACTCTGAATGAACATGCCAGAAGCATGAGGATACATGCCGGATTGCCCAAATTTCTATGGGCTGAAACTATCAGCACTGCAGCTTACTTGATCAACCGTGGGCCCTCGGTTCCTTTGGATGGCAGAATACCAGAGAAAGTTTGGGGCAAGAAAGAAATAAACCTTTCACACTTAAGAGTGTTTGGTTGTATTTCTTATGTACACATAAACTCTGCTGAAAGAAGTAAACTTGATGCCAAGTCCAACAAATGTGTCTTTGTTGGTTATGGTGGTGATGAGTTCGGTTACCAGTTTGGGACTACGAAAATCGGAAGATTATCAGAAGCAGAGATGTCATTTTCAATGAGAATGAGATGTACAAAGACAAATCAACCATAGAATCAAGTAGCTCAAACATCGAAGCTGAAACAAAGGAATTTGCTGAGTTCGAGGAGATTTCTAGAAATGATGTTCAGATCAGTCCTGAAGCAGTTCAAGAAGAACCAGGCACACCGGAACTAAGACGCTCCTCCAGAATTCCTAAACCAACCCAACGGTATTCTCCTTCTTTGCACTAGTTGTTGCTGACTGACAATGGTGAACTAGAGTGATATGATGAAGCAATGCAAGTGGAGGATTCAGTCAAGTGGGAGTCTTCTATGAAAGATGAGATGGACTCACTTATGTCAAATCAGACGTGGTAATTAGCTGAATTACCACCAGGCAAGAAAGCGCTCCACAACAAGTGAATTTACAGGATCAAAGAAGAGCATGATGGGAGCAAACGCTACAAAGCAAGATTGGTTTTCAAAGGTTTTCAGCAAAAAGAATGTATTGACTATAATGAAATTTTCTCACCAATCGTAAAATTGTCCACAAGCAGACTGGTGTTGAAAATTGTAGATGCAGAGAATTTACATCTTGAGCAGTTAGATGTAAAGACATATTTCCTTCATGGTGATTTGGAGGAAGAAATCTATATGAGGCAATCAGAAGGCTTCATAGAGGCAGGCAAGAAAAACCTGGTATGCAGGTTGAAGAAGAGCTTGTATGGTTTAAAACAAGCTCCTAGACAATGGTACAAGAAGTTCGATAGCTTCATGCGTAGCAGTGGTTTTACCAGATGTCAAGCAAATCATTGTTGCTACATCAAGGGGTTTGACAATAGTTTCATTATTTTATTGTTGTACGTTGATGACATGCTTGTTGCAGGCTCAGACATGCAAGAGATTATAAACTTGAAGCAAAAATTGTCGAAGCAGTTTGCTATGAAGGATTTGGGCGCTGCAAAGCAGATTCTTGGGATGAGGATTAAGAGAGACACAAAGTCGGGGACTTTGATGTTATCACAGGTTGAGTACATCAACAAAGTACTCTCCAGGTTCAACATGCAAGATGCTAAACCAGTAAGTATACCTTTAGGTGTTCATTTTAGACTCTCCAAAGAATAGTCACCAAAGACGGAGGAAGAACGTGCACACATGGTGAAGGTGTCGTATGCCTCAGCAATTGGAAGTCTAATGTATGCCATGGTTTGTACCAGACCAAATATTGCTCAAGCAGTGAGAGCTGTTAGCAGGTACATGAATAATCCAGGCAAGGTACACTGGGAAGAAGTCAAATGGATCCTCAGATATCTGCACGGTACTACAAACAAAGCACTTTGTTTCAAAGGTGGAGATACGATACTGACAGGCTATGTAGATGCTGACTTAGCCGGAAATGTTGACATCAGAAGGAGCACTACATGGTATGTCTATACTTTAGGAGGAACCGCAATGAGTTGGGTTTCTCAACTACAGAAGATAGTTAATCTCTCCACAACTGAAGCAGAATATGTCGTTGTTACGTAAGCCAGCAAGGAGATGGTTTGGCTCCAAAGTTTCTTGGAAGAGTTAGGCAAGAAACAAGAAAACAATGTCTTGTATTGCGACAGTCAAAGTGTTATACATCTAGCAAAGAATTCGTCTTTTCATTCCAGGACAAAACACATACAATTGCGATATCATATTATTTGGTCTCTTCTGAAAGATGGGATTTTGAAACTTGAAAAGATCAGTGGAGCTCAAAATCCAGCAGACATGTTGACAAAGACGGTGACTACAGACAAACTGAAGTTTTGTTCAACTTCAGTTGCCATGCTAGAGTAACAAGACTAGAAAAGCTGTTGCATTGATCGAGGTGTGAAGACAGATTAAAATCAGTCTTCAAGTGGGAGATTATTGAAAGTATTGTTAAAATGATTTTCAAGTTTGGCAACCAACTTTGAAAAAATAGTTTTCAAAGTTTGGTAAATGTTTCTTTGAAAATGGTTTTCAAAGTTTGGTAAATGTTTCTTTGAAAAATAGTTTTTCAAAGTTTGGTAAATGTTTGTTGAAAAATGATAATGAGATAATCACAATTAATTCTTAGGCTTTAGGGTATTTACAAGATTAAGTCCTTAGTTTCAACTATAAATATCCTAACTCATTTAGCTTCAAAACCATCCCAAAAATCATTTTTTTTCTCCCAATACTAGAGAGCTTTCTTGTGAGTAGTGAGTGTTTTGTAAACACGTGTAAATTTTCTCTCTTAGTAAAAGATCTGCAACAGTCCGGAGACGTAAGCAAATTGACTGAACTCCGTTATCAATTTAGGGTATTATTTTTCCGCTTTTATTTCGTATTCTCACTAATCTGATTATAAGAAAATTACTTGTACTCAGTTTATTTCCTAACATCTTCAAGAACTGGGACAAAAGCGTGTCCCACCAAGCCCAAGTCTATGGGAAAAAAAACTCTTTTGCAAGTTTTTGTGCACAAATTTATGCAAAGAACCTCTTCAGCGGACTTCTACACACAAATCAAAGACCCAAAAGGTTTGGTCATTTACATTCTCTCTCACTGAAACTCACACGCCCTCGTCGCATTATTAGAACAACTTGAAACTTGATCTCTTTGAGCACTTCTAAACGCATCGACTTATTGCAATCTCCCCATATGAACTGTTCGATCCTTTGGCAAAGGCATCAACCTTTGGCCACTCCACATGGGTGCCACCATTCCCGTTCAAACTCAACATGACCGAACTTTTAACAATTTGTTTTGACATGAATCCTCTTGATCCTTTATTAGAGGCATCAACCTTTGGCCACTCCACACAAATCTTTTAGCAAAGGCTCTAACCTTTAGCCACTCCACACAAATAACAAGGTCTAACTCATTCTTTACTCAACAATGAAATTATATCAAATCTATAAAATAAAGCACTTTTAAACAATAAAATAGATTTGATTGTTCGAGGAAGAAGACGAACGAGTGAAGTATTACAACTATTCTAAACATCATTTATCAGAAAGGGACATTAAATAAAAATATAATATAATATAATAAATTGAAACCCTAAAAATCTTCATCCATCTTGAACTCATGGGTGCCGCCATTACCGTTCAAACTCGACATGACCGAAGCTTTCTGATACTCACCCACTCTCTTCTCGAAGAAATTAGTTTTCCCCTGCAACGAAATCAGTTCCATCCAATCAAATGGATTTGCAACATTGTACATCTTCCCGTACCCCAACGCGCCCAGCAGCCGATCCGCTACGAACTCGATGTACTGACTCATTAAATCGCCGTTCATACCAACCAATGCGCAGGGCAGAGCGTCGCACACGAACTCCCTCTCTATATACACGGCCTCTTTTATTATCCCTTTCACGCGCTCTTCACTGAGCTTAGACCGGAGTAGATCGTACAACAAGCAAGCGAAATCACAGTGGAGACCCTCGTCTCGCGATATTAACTCGTTTGAGAAAGTTAATCCGGGCATTAAACCGCGCTTTTTCAACCAGAATATGGCGCAGAAACTTCCGGAGAAAAAGATCCCCTCGACGCAAGCAAAGGCGATCAACCGCTCGGCGAAAGTTTCTCCTCCGTTGATCCATTTCATGGCCCACTCGGCCTTTTTAGCCACACACGGCACCGTTTCAATGGCGCGGAAGAGTCGGCTCTTTTCATCGGAGTCCTTGATGTAGGTCTCCAAAAGGAGACTGTACATCTCAGAGTGTATATTCTCAATAGCGATTTGGAAACCGTAGAAAGCCCGCGCCTCGGAGATTTGGACCTCTTTCATAAACCGAACGGCGAGGTTTTCAAGGACGATTCCGTCGGAGGCGGCGAAAAAGGCAAGAACATGAGTGATGAAGTGGCGCTCATCGGCGGTGAGTGTTTCCCAGTGACGGAGATCGGATGACAGATCGACCTCCTCGGCGGTCCAAAACGACGCTTCGGCTTTCTTGTACATTTCCCATACTTGTGGGTATTGGATGGGGAACATACAGAACCGGTCTGTGTTTGCGGCCAGTACTGGCTCTTCTGGAATTGAAGGCATTTTGAAAGGGCAATTTTGAATATTGAGAAAATAAATTTGCTCTCCTTTTCTTTTTTTTAAGAAAAGATTTTATGTTGAATGATTTGGAGAATAGGGGGAAGAAGGTATTTATAATTTTATATGCTAAAATGAGCGAGGGATTTTGAAAATATTTTTTTGAGAAGTTTGCCGGGTAGAATAAAGCGCGGAGAAGGATAATTTAGGAATTTTAAGGAAATTTGACTACGTGTCTTATGTTGATTGGATGAAGATTAATAAAATTTTAAATTTAATGGAGCGGATAACGGTCGAGCGTACAAGGGAAGCTTTTGTAGTGAAAATATTTCTATTTTGAAGGTTGGCGGGAAGTATTAGGCGCTGTTCAACAATTTCATAATTTATCTTTCTAAGTTTAAAAAGTTTGAATTTAGTTTTTGTCCAACCTTTTATTTTAAATAATGTTTAGTAATATTTTTTATATTTTATATTTTATATTTTTATTTTTAAATAATATAATTTAACTTTTTAAATTTTATGTTTGGATTATATAATTTAATTTTTTTACATTTTAAGTCGATCTATTTGAATTTCTAAATTGTATAATTTATAAAAAAAATTACAAATTTATAACAAGGGTAACGCACAACCCGACTTACAAGCACCCGATTGTTATGTGTTAGATCGAAAGGAGCATGTAGGAGTAATCGTTCAAGAAAATTTAAAATTTTCGTATATTTTTTATTTTTTTATATTCCCAACTAAAAATTTGTTATATATTTTCTTCTACAAATCTATTTTTTCCCTTAAATTTTATAAATTTGTCTATTCTTAGAAGTTTAGAAATATGTATTATAAACTTATGTATACAGAGATATGACTAAAAATACATATGAAAATGACACTCATCATAACGAGTATTTATTAATTGAATTTTAAATAAAAGATAAGTTTATCGTTTTATTAATAAAGGGGAGCAAGCAGATTATGATTTTGGATGCAATGATTATTCTCTTGGGGATCTTGATTAGAATGCATGTAACTATTGACAGCAGAAGAAGGGTTTGAGCTTCACATATTCGAGTTGCGAACTTCATATCAGAACCAAAAAGGTAAGTAGTCATAACCTGTTTTATCAACTGAGCTATAACATTGGTCCCTGAGCTCCCACTCTCAAACAATAACATTAGTGGTCATTTTGTTATTTTCTAAAAGTCAGTGTTGAAAACATAAACTTAGTTATACTTTAATGACCAGTTATGTAGTTTATATTATTATATTTTTATAATTTTTAATATTTATTACTTTTTATATTTAGATGATGATGTGACACAGTATTCACCTCTCTTAACACCATTATAAAAGTATATCATTGTAACAAAATAAATAAATTCATATATTAGTTTGAATAAAAAGTATATATACACCACTATATAATTTAATTGTTAAATCGATGTCCAATAGAGAATGTAACATATATATGACATTAAACAACTATAATTTATTCATTTATGACATTAAACAACTATAATTTACTCATTTATAAGATTTTTTTATTTAATTTTATGTTTTATCATTCTTGTCTGATTAAATTAAAATCACTGAATTTTTTTGTATAACTATCGGTATCTGATCTATTAATAAATTAATTCAAATCGGTATTCCAGAGGTAAGGACGACCCTCCCAATCCAATTGGCTTCATTCATAATCATTAAGATTCGAACCCCTGACCTTGTTTAAGGGATTTACTGTCTCATCCCACTAGATCAACTGGTTGTTGGTTTTTTTTTCTATTTATTATACTAACTAATCATAATTCATTAATGTTTTGAAAAGGCTTACAAAGTTAAATCATTGTGATGAGAATTTAATCAAAGTCTCCAATCAAATAACAAACACGATTATTATTATTATTGTTTCTTAAATCTTTTTTCTTTCGTATGATTGTTCACTTCTAATTCTATCATAATTTTATCTTTATTGTTACAATGTAATTCCATTATGATTGTTCACTTCTAATTCTTGGAGACTTGTCATTTCATAAAAGTCCCGCCTTAAAAAAACAGAAGAAATAAAGAAAGTAGAGTGTTAAAGGACAATGATATATGTATATTAAGAATATTCTAAAATGATGTAGAAATTTTAGATGTGTAGAAGTATTTATAAAAATCAAAATATTTTTAATATTTAATATTTTATCGAAATTTATCTATTAGAAGAATCTAGACATTTATAATGTTAAATTGCTAAAACGTTGACATGTATCGACAATCCAATAGCTACTATAATCTATAAATAGTGATGAGTTTTACCTAGGGATGGCAACTCAACCCGAATCCGACGGGTTCCGACCCGATCGGGTCGGATTTTTTTTAAAAAAAAATCGGGTTCGGGTCGGGTTTTTTTAAATGTACTGTTCGGGTCGGGTCGGGTTTAGGGTGAAAAAAAATCCGACCTGACCCGACCCGAAAAATATATATAATTTTATCCTATATATTTAGGGATAATTACAATAATGTCCCTCCATATATAATTTTTTTCAATTATGTCACTGTTTTCATTGAATAAAATTTTTTTTATTATTATTTCGGGTCGGGTCGGGTCGGGTTTCTAAGTCATATATTCGGGTCGGGTCGGGTCGGGTGAAACCTTAATTTCGTCGGGTCGGGTCACGGGTGAAAAACCCTTTCTTCTCGGGTCGGGTCGGGTGGCCCAAAAACCCGACCTGACCCATTGCCATCCCTAGTTTTACCATTGTAGTATGAGTAAAAAAAGTGAGAAAATAGTGTTAAAAGTATGAGCTCTAGAAAGAGAGTTTAGAGTTAGAGAAGTGAAAAGTTGTGGGGAAAGTGAGTATATTGTAATTGTATTTCATATCAATAAAAGTGTTATTTTCTCTTAAATTTCTCGGTTAATTCTTAGTTTTTTTAAGTTCTTATTACACTTGTGTTAGTTTTATTATATGATCGACTCTATCACCTAATTGATATATGGTCGATTATATTGTATGATTGATATATGGTCGACTCTGCCGTCTAAATGATATATGATCGGTTATGTCGCCTGAATGATATATGGTCAGCCTCAACATCATCGGAGATTTCATTTTCAATCTTATCGGCATGAGTCTTGTGCTCTTGCATTGATCAGTTCAATGGAGTGTGCATCAAGAACATCCTTAATCTCATGAGAAATTACACGCCGATGCTCAATTTCTGATTCAGACTCAACATGATCACGCACCAACACAGATAGGATGGTGATATGATGCACATTAATCACGTGCTTAACCTCACGAGATATCATATGCCGAACCTCATGAGATATGTCACACTTCAGGTCTTGCTAGATATTAATCTCAAACTCGTTGGACTCAAGCTCCGGTTGATGGTAGATATCAATCACAAGCTCTAATTGGTGCTTGATATCAATCGTAAGCTCTAATTAGACAGACTCAGATTCATATAACACTAAATAATCCCAAGTATTGCCCCAATAATACTATCAACCTGCAATTATGAACCATGCCCACTTATTGGTAGAGCAGTGGAAAATGCATAAATCTAAGGTGAACGAGTTTTCTCTCTGAAATCCTAATTTTTTAATATTAATTGTCAATTTTACTATGGGTGTCTACCATAAAATTTTATGTGTGCTTGTTTTATACAAAAAAATCAATAATTAATATATGTGTGTCAATCCTCAAAAATGTTTTTAGATCTGTCACTAAACATGAGCAGCAACATTACCATCAGAATTGGTCATGACGAACAATAAACCACAAACAACAATCTAACTAATGGAACAAACAAACAAACAAATGAAACAAAAGTCATTATTTCTGTTTGATTAAATTAAAACCACTGAATTAATTTTCTATTTATTATACTAACTAATCACAATTCATTAATCCTTTAAAAAGCTTACAAATTTAAATCACGATGATGAGAATTTAACAAAAGTTTCGATTTATACTAAGAGCAAGAATATATATATTTTATTTTATCCCTGTAGTTGGTGACATGTGTCATCATTTAATTGTTTAAATAAGATTAATTAAAAAAATGATGTGGAAATAAAAAAAAATTACATGTCATCTCACATCAACATTGTCGTTAATGGTTTTGAAAAAAAGTAAAGTTTAGGTACTAAATAAAAATAAAAATAATAGTGTAAATACTAAACATGTATTTTACCATTTTAATATTTACTTAATAAGAATAATTTAATTAATGGTGTGTTTTAGGTGTGTCACTCTAATGGTGTGTTGCAGTGTACGACGTAAGCTCATCCCAAAATAAAATACCTACAATTGGTTAGAGATCCTGTCGAAACTAATGAAAAGGTTTCAGAACATTTATGGTCTTAATGACGATTTAGTAACGCATGACACCGCAATTTACGAATCCCATTCAAAGATCAAATCATATTGATCACCATTCTCGGATTCAAAGAATATATCGAAGGACTGTTTTCATAGCAATTAGTTTTGTATGATCTGTCACATCTCAAATTGGAGTTAAATTTAGCAATCAGTTTTGTATCGTCTGTCACATCTTAAATTGTGGTTAAATTTTTTTAATCTTTAAGTGGGGTTAAATTAGAGTCTTTGTGAATTTTTGGCGCTTGATTGTGAATTTCTAGAACGTGCGAGGACTCTCTGCATAATTAACCCAAGCGATAGAAATCAACAATAGAGCAATAGATAAATTCAAGTGCAAAATAGCTATTTTAAAACTGACTAAATCCACCGTAACTAGTTGATTTAATAAGTTGAAGTAATAAATCATTTAAATAAAATCGGAGATTTAAATCTTGATATTTGTGTATAGAGTAAATTGAGTTGGGAGAGTAACCTCATAATGGATCTTTGTAAAATCCGATCTGAACTACTCAGTTAATAAATCAAATACCAATGATTAATTAAAAAATATTTATTAAATCCATGATCGAATTGTTAGGTTACAACTAAAAATGTTAATTTCTTGTAACAAATGCAGGAAAAAACTAAGCTAGAGCTAGCATGAGAATATGTAACAAGATAACAGAAGAGTTTTTAG